GAGTTGAAGTCCAACCCATCGGGCGGGCCCGCAGGGAGGAGCTAAGCTGCATCGCAGACAAGCTTTTGCTCTGTGAGCTCTGGGAACCCTTCCAGTTGTGGCTTAAGCAACAAACCATGGTTAACCTCAACCAGTTGCAAGCCAGGCTGGAGACTGACTTGTTTAGCTGTAGCTAGAACCATGTTCGGAGTTTTTTGTATTTTATTTTCTCTCTCTTTAACGGTCTGTTGTGCGCCTGGAACCTCACTTCCTTTGGGCACCTTCTCTAAAGTTGGTTTTGGAGTCAGCTGATGGCTGGGCCGAGCTATGGAGTCCCCAAAGTTTTTGTTAGATTTCCCTTTCTGTTTTTCTTTCCTGGCCATGCATGAACATCACACACCTCCAGGCTCTTAATTTTTTTTCTGGAAAGGATGGAAGTTAATCTGAAGCTAGGACGAATGGAGGTGGCTGAGAGAGAGGGAGTCAGGAGAAATAGAAGGACACCAAGACTAGTTAGAGTTGATGAAGCTGCAACACCAGTTCCTCCTCGCTAACCCTTCTCCTCCCAGTGTGACCCAAACCTCAGGGGAAGGGCCATTCTCTTGGGACTTGGACTCCATCAACCTACACATCTGTAGCTGAAATGCATTCTGTGGTTGCCTTCTGTGGTGGTTGTGCCCCTTGGGGACAAAGACCCTAGACCGGCTTAAACCTCGAAAGCCCAGAAGGGTCTCCCCCAGCAGTTCCACGTAGATCTTAAAAAGGAGTGGTAAGTGGAGAGATCCCTGGAGCACGCACAGAATAGATGTCTCTGGACAGATCTCTCTTCTACCATCACTACCTCAGGAACGAGGAGAACCAGTGCAGAACGCTGCATTCCCTCAGAGCTGTTGCAGAAGAAGGCCATGGTCAGGGGTACTGAAAGCCCCTGGGAGTTCAAGGAGGGCTGCACTCCTCCAGTCCTGGTCTCTCCATAAGTCATCCATAAGTGTGGATTGCCAAGGAGCCAAATCGTCTGCTTCCTCTAAGGCTCTCTGCAGTTGCAGAGCATCAGCCCTCTCAGGCAAGCCAGGTCAGGAATCGGACACCGCAAAGCCCATTGGAGCTCTACGATATTGTTGTGGGGTATAAGAACAGAATCTTGAAAGCCTGTCAGAGTTTCCTGCTGACCTCTTTTATGGGGTGCAGAATCAAGGCAGGATTATTTTGAGTCTCTGGAGTAAGAAGAATACTGAATTCCATTTCCTGTCTGTTCCTTCGCTCCCTCTGCTCCCTGTACGCAGGGATGTGACTTTCTCCAGAACCATTGTTAAAAATGGAAGGTTGGAGATGGATCTAACGTTGTCAAAAGCAGTTGGATGGAGAAATCAGTGGGGACAAGACAGCCTCCTTCCTCCTGCCCCCTATGGAAAATCCACCCTTTCTCCCCTCTTTGCATGAGCACCTGCACTGCACAAGGAATCCACCAGGGGGCTCCCTCTGCAAACAGAAGGCAACACCTGCGGTTCAGCTTTGGGCCACTGGAGGGCGAATCCCACAGGTGGCTTTCCAGAGGAGGGTGGGAAGGGAGTGACATCACTATGGCTTGCCCCTCTAGGACACTGCACTCTCTCTCTTTAACCCTTTGAGCTTCGCAAGAGGTAAAAAGGCTGCAGGAAAGTCTTCCTGGGTGAGTGTGGGCTTCTTCCCATGCAAACGGAGGCAGAGTGTTTTTGTACTGGAGAAGGAAGAGACACAGGCCAAGTCCTCATCCAGGTTCAATCTTCTGAGTCCTGGGAGTGGGAGAGCCCAGATCCCATGTTCCCCTGCCGCCCCTTTCCATGCATGTAACAGATGGGGGGAAAGCAGAGCTCCAGACCAGCTGTGTTGCCCCCAGGAATAACTCCAGGATCCCCAGGAAGGAGGAGGGGATCTGGGGGAGCCCTTCACGCCCCATTTCCTGGGAAGAGCCCCTGAGTGGGGGGAGAGGGAGAGTTTGCATTGCAAATCTCAAGCAGGAAAGAAGAAAAGCTTTGAAGGAAGGAGATGCCAAAGATTGTGTCTGCATTCTCACCACGTGCTGGATGGGGCTAAAATGGGGTTGGAGCCTCTGCAGTTCAACATGTCTTAGGAGGGTGAGTGAACCAGGACATCACCTTAAGCTACCTTCTTACAAGCCCCGTGTTTTATGTGAACTCAGCCCCTGCGGTTTGTGGATCTGTTTGGGGTTTCTCATGTTGTGTGAACCCTGCTTGTAGGTGAATGTAGATCTAGGTTTTTAAAAAGCAAAGCCTTCCTTGTGAGAAACACACACACACACACAGAGGACCTACAGTGCGTTCCAAAAGTATTCAGACCGCCTTCACTTTTTTCAATTTTGTTATGTTGCAGCCTGGTACTACAATCGTTCAATTTTTTTTCTCATTAATCTACACTCAGCACCCCATAATGGCAAAGTGAAAACAGAATTGTAGAAATGTCTGTAAATTTATTAAAAAGGGAAAACG